GCCCGGAGCCCCGCGGGCTGCGGGAGGGGCAGAGAACGGGAGAAACGCCGAGGGCGAGAGGGGAAAAGGAAAAAAATAAATAAAAATGAGTGAAGAAAAGGGAGAAAAACAGGGGGGAAGAGAAGGGGGGGAGGAAAAAATAAAAAGGGCGATAGCGGAAAAGGAATAAGAAGAAAAAAGGGGTGGAGGAAGAAAAGGTAAGAGAGAATTCATAGAACCATAGAATGGCCTGGGTTGGAAGGGACCTTAAAGATCATCTAGTTCCAACCTCCCTGCCACGGGCAGGGATGCCACCACCAGATCAGGTTGCTCTGAGCTCCATCCAGCTTGACCTTGAACACTTCCAGGGACAGAGTTCTGAACATCCTCTTCCACTCACAAGCAGCTGTTAGGCCCAAACTCCCTGTCAGCTGCTGCCAGTGTTGGTGCTTCTCCCCACATGGTTCATCACCATTTCACTAGTGCCCATAAATAGGTGCCCTTGCTCTTTGGCAGGGGTTAGCCAGCCGTTGGTTTGCTGGCCTGTGAAAAAGTCATCACGATGAATATCAGCCTCAAATGGCTGCTCTGAACATAAGACACAACAACCAGGGGATTGGGCCCACCAGCCAGCATGAGTTTGTGAAAGGTGGGTCCTGCTTGACCAACCTGATCTCCTTCTGTAACAAGGGGACTCACATAGAGGATGAGGGAAAGTCTGTGGGTGTGTCTACATGGACTTCAGTAAAACCTTCGACACTGTCTCCCTCAGCATTCACCGGGAGGAACTGGCTGCTGATGGTCTTTATGGGTGTGGCCTTCAATGGCAAAGAACTGGCTGGATAGCTGGGCCCAGAGACTGGTGGTGAGTGGAGTTGCATCCAGTTGGTGGCCAGTCACTAGTGTCCCCCAGGGATCAGTATTGGGGCCAGTCCTGGTAAATATCTTAATTGATAGCCTGGATGAGGGGATCAGGTGCACCCTCAGCAAGCTCTTCATAGTCATGAAAGGACTTTGTGTCACGAAGTTTGTCAAATCACGTCATAGTCACATGGTCAGTGAAGACGACACCAAGTTGAGTGGGAGTGTTGATCTGCTGGAGGGCAGGAAGGCTCTGCAGAGGGATCTGGACAGGCTGGATCAATGTGCTGAGGTCAGTCGTAGGAGGTTCAATAAGGTGAGGTGCAGTGCCCTGTCCTTGGGTCATAACAACCCCATGCAGCTGGGTGCAGAGTGGCTAGAAAGATGCCTGGTGGAAAAGGACCTGGGGGTGCTGGTCAACAGTGGCTGAACATGAGCCAACAGTGTGCCTGGGTGGCCAAGAACCCAATGCCGTCCTGGCTTGTATCAGCCATAGTGCAGTCAGCAGGGAAGTGATTGTCCCCATATACTAGGCACTGGTGAGGTCACACCATGAGTACTGTGCACAGTTTGGGCCTCTCACTACAAGACAGACAGAGATGCTGGAGCAAGTCCAGAGAAAGGCCATGGAGCTGGTGGGTCTAGAGGTTAAGCCCTATGAGGAG